TACGTATCTTACTGAGCGTTTCATTTAAAATACACACCCTTACAAAATTTTATATTAGAACGGGATCATGCTGGACATGTGGGATTGGATGAATGAATGCTCATAGGTTCCCTAGTAAAAGTATATTAGATAGTATTTTATCCAAATAACAGTAAAATATCATCATTTAGGATCTCGAATAAGTGTAGAAACTACACTTATCACACCCCCAAACTTGATTTTTTGTTTGTCCTCAAACAAAACTAAAACCTATCAAACACACAAACACACAATGGTGATTACCTAATTGGTGGCCAGTCAATCAAATAAAGCAAAAATTTTAGCTATCTAACCTGATTTTTTATTTCATAATTGAAATCATAATATCAGATCTATACACAACTTCAAAATCATATTACTGAAATTAAAATTTACTTTTCCAATGTAAAATCGATGTGTGTGTGAAGAATTAAGTATAGTATTATGAATTCATGAGTCGTTTCAATTCCCAACCCTCAATTGTCAAATATATTCTTTCATCATTCGTAAGATTCACACACCCCCAAACTTATTTTTTTCGCTATTTTCAAGTGTGTGATCTAAGGTTGAATTCTATACTATCCCCACATCTCTAATTTAGGTAAATCTCACTAATTGCCAGTCAATATCTCAATAAATAAGGATTTTCTATTAAATTTGATTGTTTCAATTTCTAGGACTTAATTAAGCTAACAATCTTTTATCAAAAGTCAAATTTTCTTAAACAAGTGTTTGAGACATAATCAAGGTATTTGGTGCGTCTGTTTCATGCACTTTTTTTTTTTAGAATTAATTTTTTTAACACTTTTTTTTATTTGCAGCATTCTCTCCCTTAACCTTTCTAAATAACCCATGTAACAAACTTTAGGCCGATGACTTCCAGTCAGTTGACTTTAGGTTAACAGGTTTTAACACTCTTACATGTTTAATAACTCGAGTCATAAAGGCTATAAAGAGAAATTTTCAAATAAAATGTGTTTTTTTATGTTTTGATTAGTGCAATATCCCTCATCAAACACTTATTCAAGTAAAATGATTTCTAACTTGAGATTTTCACCCAATTTCATCATATTTACCTTAGACAATCAAACAAAATTTTTAATTTCACACATGAAATCCCTATTTATCTCAACATCTTCCTACAACAGTAAAATCCCCTAAACTATTATAAATTTGATCTAAGGATGTAAAATTTAGTGGCTTTGAATTTAGCGTCTATGGTCCACTATTTCAACATATCCAATTATGAAATCAACTTATTCATACACAATACTTAACTTAATTCATGTGCTCAATATATATGAAATTGCACATGAAAAAGTAAAAATCAATTTATTCACCATTCATAGATCAATTAACGATTCAATATATTTTTTTAATTACCAGCCAAACCAACTAACTCACACAAGTACACAAAAAGAAAATATTTTGAAAATTTTTTAAAATTTTCAAAATTTTTTTTTATCTAAACTAATGCAATAAAATCACACAAAAATACATAAATATAAGAATGACACTAATACATAAAAAAATGAAAATGAAAAATGAAAACTCATGTTTTCCACCCCCAAACTTAAACTAGAGATTGTTCTCAATATCTTAAATTCTAATCTTAAATTCTAAATCCGCATATAAAGGGGGTGGGGAAGAAAATGAAGAAAAGACTCCCCTGATATGACTCATAATCAAATGTCTAACTTCATATTGCTTCCGTTGGCTCATTGGTCAATATTGGTTTAAATATTTTGCGATATCATATTTCTACACAATGCGATCAAATAAAGCATTAAGGCTCAAAAATTTGGAACAAGTGTTACTTAGCTCTAACATCTAATAAACCAACTAACATATCGAAAATTAAAGGGAAAACGAGGTATGGATGATGAGTCCCTAAAATTGAATAATAAACAATATAATCTAAATTATCCTAAATTATTCTAAATCTAAAAAGCAGAATAAATATAAGGGATAGAAGTATTGGGTGGCCTCCCAATGAGCGCTTTGTTTAAAGTCTTTAACTTGACTTTGTTGTTTCGGTATCATAAAATTCTGAAGAACGTTTTTGATGCCTTGCTCAGTTTGCCTCTTCTGACTTTACTCCACTCTTCATTACTTCTACAAGTTTTAACACTGCCTTCTACAATGTGATATGATATGTCTATCTCTTCCGATTTGAATACGTAGACTTCTTCCTTCCTTTTGGGCTTAATTACAAATTCAATGATAGGGCAATTAATGAAGTCGACAGAATGTTGGTTAAATCTTTCTTCATTAATTGGCACATCTTCGTTTTGTTCATTTGTAATTGATCTTTCATCGTCTTTGTTCTCGTCTTCCATAATTGATATCTCATCTGGTTGAATGGCCGATTCACAATTTAAATCCACGGGCAATGTAAACTTCTTTCTTTCAAACGTTTCGAGCGGATTGTATCCCCACCTTTTAAATTCATACCAGAATATGCCATCTCCAATACACTGTTTGTTTTCATCTTACTTGGTGAGATCAGTGTAGTATTTTGCAAATGCATCCTCGTTCAACATGGAAGGACCAAATTCCACAAATGTGTCGGAAGAGATACACTCACCCACAGGCATATAGGCTTCAAAAGATGTGTCAATTGCTAGTTTTCGACATCTTAAATATTGTTTAAACCGCATGAGCTTGAGCTGAAAAAGTTCAGTGTATGTACTCATGCAGTAGCCAGTATAATGCACCCCATAACATAATTCACAATATATATCTTCTTCCTCGTCGTCCATTTCAAGGTTATTTGTTGCAAAAATCTTTTTACCATGCCGTGTTAGAATCTTAGATGCATTGCTGAACGACACCTGGATAGAATATCAAGTACGAGAAATCAAGGTAGGTAGCCAAAATCAATAATAAAAAATAAAAAAAGAAAAAAAAATCGAATTTAATATAAACTACTAAACTAAAATTAAATCCGTTATTCTCCGACAACGGGACCAAAAACTTGTTCGCGTGAAATCCGCAAGCGTACGGGATCGTTGTACAAGTAATAAGATTTATGAGTTAAGAATATCGTTCCCACGAGGAATAAGGTCTAATTTGTAGTTCAATAGCTACTATTAAATTTGACGTGTGGTAATATCAAAAAGAGATTATTTGTATGTAATCTATATTAATCATAAACTAACAATGCAAATAAAGTGTATATCTAATATGTGAATGTTTGTATTGAAATCATGAATCCCCATACCGCTGTTTAGTTCAATTCTTAATCTTAATTCAGTAAATTTGTGTATTCAAGACAATCGATAATCCACTGTTATTCAATATTCTTTTTCAAAATATATTAAACCTATGTTTAACACGACCCGATCATATTCCTAGTCCGAATTCATATAAAAACATGCATTGATTCACATTATTTATTGCACATGATTGGACATGTCATAGAAATTATTCATAATACCTATTGTCCATGTGTTGATTTTGTCGCATTCTAGATTTATTGTGAGTATTCCTACACTACAACAAGCAACTTACTATCTAATTGGTGATCAAACAATCAAATAGTTCAATGGGAATGTAAAACCAATCAAAAAAAATCAAGAAGTACTAAATTAATTGTCTCGAATTAAAATAAATAAGCAATATGAATCATCATTCATCCAATCTTAGTCTTTTCAACCTCATCTTTAAACCATAAACAAAATACTATATTCAAAGTTATTGGAATTTGAACTCCGACCTCAATAAAATAAGAGCTCCTTATCCGATGTGAGCTCATCATTTTCTAATAACGCAATATGGACGACATCATAATGACCGATAGTAGCCAACCTCAACAGGCAACTAGAAACAAGATCACTGGTATGCCTTGCAAGCTCGGCACTGTAGCTGATTTGATTGACAGACTTGAGTCGTCCAATAAGGATCACATTCTCCCTATAAATAAGGACGCATTCTAGACTTATTGTGAGTATTTCTACACTACAACAAATAACTTACTATCTAATTAGTGATCAAGTAATGAGAATGAAAAACCAATCAAGAAAAATCAAGAAGTACTAGATTAATTGTCTCGAATTAAAATAAATGAGCAATATGGATCATCATTCATCCACTACAATGAAAAACTAGCATAACATTCTTATAATTAAATTATAAATGAATAATTGGAAAAAACATCACTTGAAAATAAGAAAGATGGAAGAAGTAGGAAAAATCAACGTTCTTGACTCAAAATTTTAAATTGGGCTATGAATCTTCAAAATTTTAAATTGGCTGAGCATGTCAAAGTGGGCATGGTGAATATTCGTCGGCAAAAGGATTGTATTAATACAGAATCTAGCTTGGAGAAGTGATGACAAATAATGGAGCTCATTGAACGTCAAAATGCCCAACGTCAAAAGAAACGTCAAAATGAGTGAAGAAAAAAAAGTTTTCTAATAATGATCATGGACTTAATTTATTTCAACTTTAAATATTGTAAAACTTAAAACTAAAATAAAACAAAAGGCACATGACTCCGTGGATTTATTTTGTATGTTGTTCAATATCTGCTTATTTTGTCATGACACGTAAACTTCTAATCGTATCGATTGAACTATTTCATCAAATGTAATTTAGGTTGAGTTATTAATATATTGAAAAAAAAATTGACATTTCAACAATTTCAACATTTATATGTTAGTTAATACTATATTAACATTAAACCATTAAAATTTATTGAATAATCAGATTTTTTAAATAAAATATTAATTAAAAAAATTCTNTCTCAAAATTTCAAAGTAAACGAGTTTTCCATTTTTATGTTTTCGGAAACAGTTTTTCAGAATGGCAAAAAGAACGCATTTTCAGAAATTTCAAAACAGACACTCAAAACACAAAATACAAAACGAATTCAAAACTCAAAACACAAAACTAAAATACAAAGAGAACAGCCCCTAAACCATTATTACATAAAATCCCAAATGTAATTTTTATTATATAAAAAAATAGTGCAAATGTACCTTTAGAGTTCCTGAGGGATTTTAGGACAGTCTTGCAACCAAGAGTGTATTTACCACTCTTCATCACAAGAGCCAACCTATTGTTTATGCTCTCATGACTCTTTTTCTGCAGTTTTTTTCCAATTTTTTACAAAAAAATGTTATTATGATAAAAAAAATGCTAATAAAACATAGAACAAAATTTATGCGATTCAGTATATGTGTACAATTTGTAAGAGAGGAATATGGGTAGTTTTACCGTCTTCTTGCCGGCATACACCATTTTGGTGGAGATCCCAAGTGCCGCGGCTGCAGCAGAGCAGGAGGAGAAGGGGGGAGAGGACGGGAGGCAAAACCCTGGTGATTTGGGTGCGTTTTATTTTAGGGTTTACTTTGGTGGTACGTGTCATTCACGTATTGGGGTGGAACCAAGAAATGGCTGAGAAGGACCCAATATTGTAAAAGGGTTATTTGTTGGATTCGCTTCAATTTTTTTTTTTGGGAAAAATTCAGTTTTCCTA